CCCCCCCCCCCCCAAAAAAAAAGAAAAGAAAAAGCCAAACAAACCAACATAAAAACCCCCAATAAAGTAAAATAAAATATATTGACAAAAATCCTTTCTACAGGAATGATCTGTTAAACACTCACTTTCCAATTTGTGGTAAAACAGCAATAACACATACACTGCTTTCGTATTCAACACGCTTGTAAAGCTGTACTCTTATGTTTCTCTGTTATTCTTTGCTCGCTGGGTATAAAGGGATTATTACGAATCAACTCTAATTAAAGCCGTGATTATACGTCTTACTGTAACAAGTAAACACGTCACAACTCAAGTCAGAAGTTTGAATAGTTTTTTTTTGTCGCACAACGTAATAAGCACTTTTGGCACTCTGTACTCTGTGGGTGGTTGGAGGGTGCTACTGGTAGGCCATACTCCTCTTCTTTCCCTCTGTTCCTGTTTGTCTTGCTTTTTCCTAGCACAAAATGACTAGTATTTTATTGATGTACTTCTCTTTCTCAAACAAAACAGAAACCAAAACAAACAAACCAACAAAACAAACAAAAATCCCAGAGCATATTGCACCCCCCCTCCTGCACCCCCCGTTTCACAGACGTACCATCAGCCCAGATGGTAGTTGGCTGCACTGCTGCAGTCCAGGGGAACCCCTGCTCCAATCATTAGGGGACACTTCTAGCTGCTTTTCCCGGCTCTTCGCCCACGGAGTTTTCTTAAGTGTACGTTGCAAATTGAGTTAAACCCTTAGCACAACGTGTCATGTGCCAGTGTAAGATCTTGGCTTGTTCTTGCGTCCAAAGCCTCTTCTCTTCTCTTCTCACGTGGGACCATATGTCCACTTTGTGCGTCCATTTCGTGTGTCCACCTCACCTGTCCAGTGTCGACTGAAGGTACCACCCCCCCCCCCATGTCCACCTCAAAAGTCTACCGATGTGATATAACATAAGATCCGCCCACCCTCAGACTAAGTCCTGCCATGTCCCTGTGCTGTCTCTCCGTCCCCCGCCAATCGAGGGGTTTGTTGATTCAAGTTTTGATCTCGATCGATTTTGACCCTACCGTGAGATTTCTGTGAAATATCTTATGTAATATGAAGAATACCGCATGCCTGCATTCAGTCACACACACAGACACACACGCACACACACACACACACACACACACACACACACACACACACATACGTACATACATACACGACGCACAAACAGACACACACATGCACACACACATGCACAAACACACACACACACACACACATACACACACTCCCTCTCTCGCTTTCTCTC